AAATCTGACAAGACCGTTTTCCAATTGGATCAATCAGGAAACCCCAGGTCTAAAAACTGCATCTACTTAATAACATGTAAAATCTGTAAGATCAATTATGTGCGTGAAACTGGAAACACGATTCTGACCCATTTTGTCCAACATAGGTATAATATCAATAATAAGAAAAACCTACTCACACCCCTGGTCCGGCACTTTGTCGAGCATGGCTGGCAGGCGGTCACAGCAACAGTGCTGGAGTCCAACCAGACCTGGTCCACAGCCCAAAGGAGGAGGGCTGAAAAAAACATGGATTATCAGACTCAGCACCATCTTCCCCAGTGGTTTAAATGAGAGGTAGTGCTTGGGTGGGACTCATAGTGGGTGTGCCCGTGCATTCAGGGACCCTGCTGTCTCTTGCAGCGTGGTCTCTGACGTGAGGATCCTGCTGCACTAACCCAAACCTAACCCTAACCCTAACCCTAACCCTTTTCCTTTTGCAGAAGTTTGGATACCGCTCATCAACTACTCAAGGGCCTTGATCCAGACGGAAATTGAAACTTTACAGACCATCAATACCTATATAAGTAGGAAATTACCCTTTATTCCCAAACTGGACAAGACCAAGTTTGAAACGGAGAAAGACAATATTCACTGGACGAGTAATACGGCCATTGCCATGTTTGAACACTGGATCTCGTATTTAAACTTGACTCCCCCCTAAGCCTAGTTCAGGAGGGGATGATGGGATTTAATTCCCCACTCTCACAGAACGTGGTCAATTTGGCGGCGGGTTTCCAGTTGACAGGGGCTCAGTACAGTCTGTTGAATAGGGGACTGACCTTTGTCCCTGTTTTGGACACGCATAAAAATCAGAAAATGCAGTTACAATTAGATCTTCAACAATTTCATAGAAATGTCATGTTGGCTGCCTACTTTGAAGGTTCAGTCTGGAAAAGGCTTCCCTTTCTGGGAAAATCAGATTGGATCCCAAAACTTGAATACTTACCGCCTCAGATTAAGAGGTTGATTTCTAGGGACAATGAGGTCATGAAAACTAGCTTCAAAATACTCAAGAAACCTCCTAATCTCTCGGTCGAGGAAGTTAAAGCTTTAAGAGACTTGATGCACAATTCCAACATCGTGATTAAACCAGCGGACAAGGGGAGTGCCGTAGTAATTCTGTCGAGAGATCAATATATCCAAGAGGCTCATAGACAATTGCATGATCAAAGTTATTATAGGAAATTGGAGGAACCCATTTATATGACGACGAGATCAATAGTCTGTGGTATTCTCGACCGACTATATGAACATAAATACATAAATAAAAAACAACGACAGTTCCTGATAGGAGACGGTCAAGTTAGGCTTAGGAGGTTCTACATTCTACCCAAAATCCATAAGGAGCCAGAGAAATGGACGGTGCCCTTTCAGATTCCTCCTGGACGACCTATCGTCTCGGATTGTGGTAGTGAGACCGACCACACCGCTACCTATATTGACTTCTATCTCAATCCTCTTTCAGTGAAACATTCATCATATATAAAGGATACGTATCATTTTGTGAAACTGATAAAATCCCTCACGGTACCACCCGATTCTTTGTTTTTTACAATCGATATCGAAAGTCTCTATACTAATATTGATACATGTGAAGGATTACGGGCAGTACAGGAAGTTTTCAAAAAATATCCGGACGCTAAGAGACCTGATGAGGAGATTTTGAAACTCTTAGAAATTAATCTTACGAGAAACGACTTTGAATTTAACGGGTAATTTTACTTGCAAATCAAGGGGACTGCCATGGGTAAAAGGTTTGCCCCATCTTATGCCAACATATTTATGGCAAAATGGGAAACTGAGGCTCTTGAAAAGTGTCTGAAGAAACCACTGTTTTATCTACGTTATCTCGATGACATTTGGGGCATGTGGAGTTACTCGGTGTCGGACTTTGAGGAATTCATTGGGACACTGAACTCCCACAACTCGTCGATCCGTTGTAAATTTAATTTAAAAAGTGAGAGTATTGATTTCTTGGATACAACGGTGTTCAAGGGACCGGACTTTGAATTAAATAATAAATTGGACGTTAAGGTATTTTTTAAAAACACTGACACGCATGCCCTATTGTACAAAACGAGCTTCCACCCAAAACACACTTACCGGGGGTTGGTTAAATCACAGCTCCTACGATTTTTTCGTATTTGTACTCGACAAGAGGACTTTAAAGTGGCAGTAAAAACCTTATTTAAATCCTTGAAAAACAGAGGATATTCCAGACAATTTCTGAGACGGTGCTACAAAACCTTTCATGTACAAAAGCCCCTCGAAGAACCAAAAAATAAAATTCCCTTCATCACTACCTACTCCTTGACCAGCACAAGAATTAACAAAAAAATCAAGGACAACTTTATCTCGATCATCCTAGACCCTGGGATATTGCCAGACACAAAGGTAGTTTCAGCCTATAGGAGGAATCCTAATTTAAAGGACTATCTGGTGAAAGCACGATTGACAACTCCCTCATCTTTAAGCAAAAAACGAACCTTGTTGTCAGGCAGCTTTTGTGGTGTACACTTTGTGAAAAACAGACAGAGTAAATTCCTTTTTCCAATAAAACAGAGATTCACTGAACACTCTAGAAATTGTGTCTATCTGATTTTTTGCTCCAAATGTGGCATTCAATATGTGGGAGAAACAAAAACCTCTATTTCAGTCAGGATGGCAAACCATAGGTCCAATATTAAAAGGAGAAAGGAGTCCACTCCGTTGATTAATCATTTTAATTCACATGGCCTTCAATGGTTTAGAGTGGCTGGCCTGGAAGGAAATCCTTACTGGGCAGATTGGGAGAGAAAAAAGGTGGAAAGAAAGTGGATTTTTTTATTGGGTACAAAAAAACCCCATGGTTTGAACTTGTAATTTATAGGATCGTGTTTTTACGATTTTAATTGAAACCTTGCTTTTAAATAGGATTTTTAAGTCCTTTGGGACTCTTCGATCATGATTTTAAATAAATTGTTCTTTCCTTTTCTCTTCTTTTTTTCCTTTTTTCCTTTTTTTCTTTTGAAAAAGCCAGAGATT